CAAAAAAAGGCACAATGGACAAGGCAGGAAAGATAGAGTTTGCAGTCAGGGCCGCCACATTTCTGCTGTACTGACTGTAATTAGGGATTGTCATTCTGACAGAAATACACTTCTGTCAAGATTTAATATACTGCACAGTTGCACGGAGTTGCACTGTTCTAAAAGATACATTGTCTGTGCAGCAAAAAAATAAATAACATTCCCAGAGATATATTAAAAGGCTGTCTAAATGATTTTTAAAGTGAGCTACAACAAACAGGAAGAAAACTTGTTTGAAAGTATACACAGCCTGACCTATACTTAAAACAAACAAAAACCCTCAGCTCTCATTTTACTGGCACTTTCTACTAATTTCTTGTTATTCTCCAACTTGTAAACTCTTTAAGAAAGAGACTGTGAAGCATCCATTATAACAAGACGTAATGATGATTTGAACCCAGAGGGGTTTTTTTTGGAAGAGACTTGAAGATTTAACATATAAATATTTTTAAAGTGCTTTTAAAGCTAGTCGTCAGCCTTGCTTACAGGGAGTACAGGATGAACTCTTTGAGAGGGAAGGGATGCTGCAACTGTAATTCAAAACTAGGCTGAAAAACAACAATCCTGACATCTTTCAGCTTTGTTCAGTTGCAGCTATGCAGGAGAATAAAACCAACACCCAAAACAAAAAAATCCCTCTCATTCCAACATAACAGAAGCGTACATTCCTATCCAGTTACGCAGTATTGTGTACGACAAGACATCTGATTTTTGTTAGCGCGAGTCTAATACTAAAAAGTCAGGATCCCGTTTCATACAGTTAGTGATTTTCATGGGCACTTCCCGTGACTTCATTTGGGTGGATTTAGCTGTGTAAAGATGACTTAAAGACCCAAGAAATCCATCAGTCTTTAATGTGGAACCTACGAAACCTCTTTAGCATTTAAGCTTGCTAAAGAAGCAATATTCTCTCTTGACTAGATTTAAGATATTCTCACTACCAAAGCAGACGCCCCAAGAATTAAAAAAGACCCTATGGCAAGGAAATATTATTTTATCCACCCCCCCCCAGCTACTTCTGTCTACTGTCCCCTAAACTACAGAAACTGAACTGCAATTTTTTTTTTTCATCTATATACACGTACATACATATTTATATTGTCATTTTTCTTTCAGTTTCTCCATTCTATTCAGAGCACCTGAAGGAAGGCCACGTCAGACTGTTTCCAGCCAGTCAGTGCACAACACAGCATCTAGACAACCGGACGGTCACAGACAACATGTTGTGTGCAGGAGACACAAGGCACCTTGATGATGCCTGCAAGGTAAACCCAGTTCTGTTCCTCTTTTCGTTTTAGTTCTGTCCTTGATAGTCTGAGCTAACCACACAAAAAGCTTCAGAAAATAGTTTAAAGAAGTTCTGTATTTGGAAGTTCTAGTAGACTTTTGTTGAACAGAACAGAACTGCTGACTCCTCTTTCTTTTTTCTTCCCCTGCCCCTCATAGCTGGGACAGCAGGCCACACTTAACCAAGCAAACCAGAACAATACAGACTAAAAATCCTAAATATAGGAAATACCACAAAACTGAGCAGGAAACTCCACCTCATCAGCATTTCCTACTATTTTCTCTTTTGTGAGCGTGCAAAACACTCAGCAGGAGGTTCTATAAGAGGAAGGGGGTGCTGCTCTACTGAAAAGTGGAGAAAAGGCAACTAAAGGCCAACAGATGGTGAAGAATGAGCAGCTGTAACATGAGGAAAAAGGAGGGCATGCATTCAATCCACATCCTTTCTGTTTAAAGAGCTCTTTAATAATTTTGCTTTACTGCTACACACAGCAGTATAAAACACCCTGGATCTGTACAGCCTGAATAAGCACATTCCTTTTTGTTCTTATCAACATCTCACCTACATTTCATAAGTGAGCACCATACAAAGTTAAGATGCTTTAGTGTTAGTTAAATTTTTTTGGGGTCTCTCCCCACAAGAGGAGCATTGAAGGAGTCTGGAACAAAAAAGTGGTGTTAGTAAGAGCTCTTGATTTGTAAGCATACTGCATAGGGTATTTCCATAGACATTAGTGCACCACTAAAGCCAGTGGGGGGGGAAAAACAACACAAAACCAAACAAATAAAAAATGAGATTGTTACTAACCCGGTACTTTTCTGTAGGGTGACTCTGGAGGACCTCTGGTCTGTATGAAGGATGATCGTATGTATCTAATTGGAATCATCAGCTGGGGAATAGGCTGTGGCCGCAAAGACATACCTGGCGTTTATACAAATGTGAATCGTTATCTGGACTGGATTCAGGACAACATGAAACCCTGAGAAAGAAAAATGAACTATCCACAGTCTTGTGGCCGTGCCCTCGCAGCTTCCTTCTGGGTGCTTTAAGGATGCTGACAGGGCTTCCTATCTGTCCAGATGCTTATGACTTTCAGTACAAGAGGAAGACAAAGTGCACTGTGTGGGAAGGGCACACTCTCAAATTACTCTCCTGTCCTTATTATAGGCTATCAGAAGCCAACACTCATTTCCCCTCACATCCCCAAGCTTTCTCCGTGCACCAAATCACAGGAGTACAATTAAAAATAAAGTTTGGCCCAAGAGAATAAACTAACAGAGAACATCACACACCCACAAACAGCTACGTTGTTTTGGGAATGGATGTGAACTGAAGGCAAAGGGGACAGATTTAATTTCCTGAAAACTTCATCTCCCTCCTTATTTGGCTGTAAATTTGGAAGACATTCCAGTCAGGCTTAAGCTCTGTCCTTATCCTATTTTACTTTGGTTATTTAAGCTGGTTTCAGCTTGATTCCAATAGAAGGAGCAAAGCTGTGGGCATGGGCTGCTTATTTCCATATTAATATACTACTTGCTTTTTCATTTTGGAACTGATTCATTAACTGAGTCTGAGCTTAAACTCTTTGAGCAAATCCGAGATGGCATGCTTGTTAGGACATGATGTTCTTCCACTTGCTTTTCCTCATGGTAGGAACTAAATATTTAAATAAATATGGAATAGGTAAAAATCTTCACACCAGCCTTATCTGCCACAGAATCAACATGTTATTTTTGGACTATTCAATTTCTGTGCATTAACATCTGATCTGAAAGCAAAAGCTCTCTCTTTATTGCAGCAGGGCAGAACAAAGGACAAGTGTAATGGTAGCAGTTTTAGGTGCCTGCTAGATTTACATCCACAAGTAAAAATCAAGTCAGATGTCACAAGGCTGCATTTGTCCTTTAACAGAAGACAGGACGGGTATAACACAGTCACCATTAATTAGAATTTCAGTAATCAAGCATTACTTGCGTGCATTGCAGTTGCCATGTGATGCTAAGTGGTATCTCTGCATGCCCTAAGAGCCTCTTTGAGAGATTCTCTCTTGTCCAGTTGTTTTATAAAGTCAGAGAAAGCAGGTGTGACTACCATTTTACATAAGAAAAAATTACACTGAGGCTACAAAAGGAGTTTAGCTTCAGTATCAATCAGGCATTGCAGCTAGAAAACTAGTCTGTTGTATTTGGGAAACTTGAAACTCAAAATGTTTACTCTCACAGTTTGAAGGAGCTCTCTGATGATCTACTAGCACAGCCTCTAGTCAAATAGAAAAGCTTATATAATAAAGTACAGAAGAGAGATTTGGTAAGGATGCCCACTGCTTCCTCAAATGGGTTTTGTAAATGGCAACTTTACCAATGGTCCATGTCTTCCTAGCTACCAGCTTAGAAACTGACCTCAAAGAGATCTTCTCTAATATCCTCAGAGAAACGGTCCTCTAAGTCCAGTTAGCTTCAGCAATCAGTCCCATATTCCAGACAGTGAAAGGGGATGAAAACCCAAAATGTTTATTTAAAAAGGGTCACAGTTCAGGTTTTTGGTGTGTTTTTTTGTTGTTGTTAACTGTATTTTATTAAGTTTTAACCTTGAGAAAAAGACAAATTAATTTCCATTCCTCTCCCCTAACCCCATTTCCAAGTGCTGCTGTGCCTGGCTATCCTGGGTTTCACAAGCCTGACACATATTTGCAGCCTGTAAAACAACCAAAACTGTTCCAACTAATAACACAGGTAAGCGTCATCGGGAACGCAACTGTTGTTCTACACCTCAAAGCGTCTATTAAATACATACATTATTTGAGTTCAATGTGATCTAACAGCCACTGATAAAATATAACTGAACCTCATACTGATGTCTTCTAGAAAAATACATCCTACAAAAATGTAAGTTGCAGAAAACAGTTTTACATCACAGTCCTTACCAGCTCCTTGAAAATACCCTTACGTGAAATATTCAAGGTGACAACAGAGCTACACAAGCCTCAGCTGCCATCTCTGCACTGGTTGCTTCCTTCCATCCTGGTCTGTCTTCTGTGATGTCTTCTCTGTGGCTGACTTAAAGGAAGGCCCAGAATCCACTCCAAATAGTCCCAAATGCTTCTTTATCCCTCATTTTCTAATAGATCTTAATCTGGGAGATTTAACCAAATCCCAATCCAATAACTAGAATTTACATTCTCCAGCCTTGCTTTAACTTCTTGTGTTTCATTTCTCAACACTTGCTGCCACCTCGCTCAGTGTATTTAACTGCATTTCTCTGGCTTGTTTACTCATTACATCCTTCCCTGATAAAAATCCCTGAGATGGTTTGCAAGTCTGTGACATCAGCTCTTCCTCTTCTTACCCTGTTTTCTCCTCTATTTGTCTTCTTCCAGCACACAGTAGCACCATCTTGTGACAAGGTCTAAGACAATAAATACTGACTGCCACCTGCTTGCCTCATCTTCTCACTTTGCAGTTGATCGCATGATATTCTAGATCTTTCAGAACCTGAGTCAAGATCAGCATTCACTGTAACTGAAGCACACAGCTACACCTCACATCTCACCTCAAAACTCCTTATCTCATCGTCTACCATGTTATCTCACTGATGTTGCTCTCTGCCTTCCCCTTCTGCCCTGCTTCAGCTTTCATTCCGTAAGAACTTGCAGTCGTCTCAGACTGATACAGAAAGCTTGCCATAAAGGCCGGACACCCTTATGCATATAAGAAGCCTTTCAAGATCTCAAGTAACATCAATCACTTTAGCAGGAAAGAAAAGATACTTTAAAAACAAAACTACAAAGCTAAAGGACAATATCAGCACTTGAGGAGCAGGAAGGTGAAGAGCCATTTCATTGTCTTCATAATTAAAGCACAGCTCTTAGCCTGGTACCCAAAACCCTACCTAGTAAACAAAAATAGTTCAGCTGCATTCCTAAAGAGTTTCACTAAGGTTCTAGGAAAAGCTCAACACTCCTTTTGGGAAACACTAAGAAAAATTACCAAGAAAGTAATTAACTTCAGCTTTGCAGACAGTGACTTACTCATGGGCTGGAATCCCAACTGCATTTATCTCCCCAAGGCATCCGCTATCCACAGTCCAATTGGCATGATTTACCTTCCTCCTCAAGTACCAACTGTATTTCTTGTAAACCACACACAAACCACTCTGAAATGACGCAGATGACAGGTGGAAATGAATTTTATTGATGCCCTTGCTGAAGGTTATATTTGCACTGAACAAGCTCAGCAGTAAGGCCATCTGCTGTGGCATTCATCAGCTGCATTGGGACTTGGAATTCCACAAGCAAGATGCCACTCATCCACTGCAAGTATCCATCACATGCAAACCAGAATGTACATTATCCTTCATTTAGGGTCATCTTATTCTGTTCACAAGCATGAGCTGTACATGGTGGACTCCAGAGCCACCTGATAGATGCTGTAGTCACATGTACAGCAGCTTAGGGACGAGTTCTGCTACCATAGAGAAAACACATGAGCATCTAGTGGCCAAAGAGCACATTACAGACAGTACAGAACAGTGCAGATGCCTCTCATTTCATATTTATGCTGTACAGAGAGATGCAGCACTGTCTGGAATGGGCAGATGCAGCAACAGCTCCTGCAGAATGGATGGTCCCAGTGAAAAATGCAGCATAGGCTTGAATCCACCTGCACAGCAGCTGATCGGTAAAAGAACTGGAATGAGGTAGGACAGCCAGCAACACTACAAAGGTACCAGGACACGGTTCTTTCAAAGACAGTGAGCAGGAGAACAGCGGTATCACCTTCATTTGTAACAGACAAGCAGAGACAAAAAGAGGTTCCAACAAGTTACTAGGATAGTGATCATCTTCATTTAGCCACAGCTTCAGTTGCCATCAAGAGTGCTATGCCTCCACAAAAATTCTCCTGCCTCTCTGTCTCTTTCCTGACTCCCCAAAGAAGAATCCCTACCTTCAAATACTGATGAAATAAGAGAAGCAGAATTACATTCAGATGTCACCACCCATCAGTTACCAGATCACATGTGCCACAGTCAGCCCTTCACAGGATACTATACTAAGATGTGGATGGGTTTCCAGTCTATCTCCAGAGATTCAAGATACCTGATAACCAAAATGGCTTATAAAATATCTAGAAAAAACATCCACTTCTTCCCTTCCTCCCTCGGTGGCACCATCCCCAATCTCAGGCTTCTTAACTTCCCATCCTGGGTGGGACAATCTACCTTTCCACTTTTTCCAGTCCCTTGAAGGCAGAATGGCTAGATGACCTTTCTGCTGACAAGAACTATAGAGCTTTCCACCCTAACACCCAGTGACAGAGAAAGGCAGATGCTGGATCATCACACTGGAGCTGAAGTTTGTGGAAATTCAACTTTGTATCATCTACAAAGGGACAAAAGCCAACCAAAATACAAGGAAGAGGAATTACAAAAGGCAATAAATCCCCATAATTTCCTTTAAGAAACAAAAATGAAGGTGATACAAGCTTACATAGCTGACCCACTAATCCCAAGGGGCTTGAACACCTCTCCCATCGGTCACTGGTCCAAATACTTCAGACTCAGCTAAGGATGAGATGGTTTCAGGTCAACCTTACTTCTCCCTGCTCCCCAGCACTCTAAGCACTGGCTCCTGCTCATTCTACAGGCAAGGGAGCAACCCTAGACAGATGGATGGGGCAAGAGGCTGCATCTAACGGCCAGGGACAGGAGAAACAGGAAAGTGCTCTTCCTCACTATCAGGATCCTCTAGGTTCGGACTTGGAACTTGCCAGCCTTAGTCATGTATTTTATCCCCTTGAAAGGCTTGTACTTCTCCCCATACATGTCCAAGCGATTCACCTTCAGTCCTAAAGGCAAACAAACACAGTGTAAGACTGACTGCTGCACAAACAAAGCACACAGGCGTTCAGGATAAAGCCACAGAAGATCACACTAGAGGTGCAGAAAGCACAGGGAAAGTTTTAGCAAGCAGTAAACAGAGTGGAAA